ATTGAGAAAATAGAGCTTCTTCTTTGTGATTCAAGTTCATAACTTTCAATATAATAATGGTACTGTGTTTTGCACTGTGATGCACCAAGGAATCAGAGGTTATGAGGTACTACTTCACCAGACAGTGGTTCCAGACTTTTTTTTAATGCATTTTGTACAGGGTCTCACTACACAGTGATCATCCTGTTTTCAGTCTCCCTAGGGCTGGGATTATAGGCGTGGGCCACCACACTTGGGGGGCAGGGCTGGCACAGCATGTGGTGCCAGGGATTGAAACTAGTCCCCGCACTTGCCTAAGCAGGTGTTTAGTCTGCTGAGCTATCTCGTTGGCCCTACAGGCTACTATTTTTTGGATTTCATGATAAATGCCCCCCAAACCCAACATATATCTTGAAAATGTAAGTAGAGAAACCAATAAATGATGGTAATTGAACAAGACATAATTATTAATGCATATGATATACAATAATTATTATTTCAGTGTTTATGGGAACCTTTAATCTTTTTATATACTCAGAAAGTTAATTACAGAAAAGGGACAGTGTAAAGATTAAGTTGTTTTTATATAAAATCTTTATTTCACCCAATTGAAAATACTGTAACTCAGCATTCTGTGAACACCATGATGGAAAAAAAAAATGGTTTGCCTATTTCACCTTACTAAGAATGAAAAAACAGTTAACATATTACACAGTGAAAAACTTCTTTCATGTAAAAGAACTGAGATTTTGGTTAGATAAAAAGTTCCAAGGTAAATTATAAAAATAGTTATTGTTTGGACCAGCCACTCTTCTAATGCATTTTAGCTAGTTTTAATTCTCACTATGTCTGTGAAATAGTACGTACTGTACTGTTACCTATGTCTTCTAGATCAGGAAACTTGAAGTACAGAGAGATGACAGCTAAATTCAGTGCCAACATTATCATTTGGGCAGGATGGCATAAAAATTCATATTCTTAGCCACCATGCTTTGAGCTACCTCAGTTGTCACAAAGAATTGAGTCTAGAATGAAAAGTAGTAAAACTTGCTTTTACTACATTTGCCTATTATATCCACAAGTTCCCCATTTGCAGATTCAATCAGCTATGGAAAAAATATTTGAAATAATTACATCTGCACTGAACCTGTATAGACCCTTTTGATGTGCCTTTATTCCCTAATAATACAGTATAACAACTATGTATGTAGCATTTACATTGCCTTAGGTACTGTAAGATAGAGACAAATTTTAAGGAGTTGAGTATGTGTAGATTATATGCAATTACTATATCATTTCATATAAAGGAGTTGATCATCTGTGGATTCGTTTATCTACAGGTGTTCTGCAGTCTCAGCCAAATACTAAGGGACAGCTATAACTTATCAAATCCACCAGTTTTTCTTTTTTATTCATTTTATAGCATTATAAATTAATTCTTTAAGACCACTTGAGGTACTGTGAAATATTCTTTCCCTATCTAAATATTCAAAAAATGATAACATCAATGAGTGTACATTCCCAATAATATACATCTTTCGTATAAGAAATACATAAAATTTTGCTCTAAAAGTTAAGCATTCTTCTGACAATACACAAATACATGTTACTTTCCCATTATACAAACAGTCACAGGTAAGGTTTAAAAATCGAAATGTGGTAGCTGTTGGATATTGCAGTTGCTCAGGTACCGCATCTGATACCCTTCAGTGATCTTCAGGCCACTATTGGTGACTCCTGTGCTGAGTTTTGGTGTATAATGGTCCCTCACTTATCATGGAGCTTACATTCCAGATGCTTCTGCGATAAGTGAAAACCAGCAAAGTAGCGGTGTTATATTTATTTTAATATTTATACATATTTTAAGGCTTTATAAACGCTTCCCACACTTATAAACATTTCCCACACTTTTGAAAACACTTCTAATGTTCTTAACCATTTTTTAAATTCGAAATCTGTGTAATTTTAACAACATCTATATACTGTACAGTACTACAAAATCACATGATATAGTGAAAAATATGTGATAAATAAATTAGATTAATATTTTTTGAAAACTCGTGAAACTGTGAGTCCATGAAGGTCGACCGAGAAATAGCGAGGGACTACTGTAAATTTTTTGGACCCAAGCTAGTTTTTAAAGGAATGGAAGCTGTTAAGATATAGTAAGAGTAATACTGTTTTATGAAATTTTGTTTTAGAAACAGGTAGATAAAACAAGGGAATTTTTTTTTTCTTTCACTACTGTGTCATAAAGATGGGCAAGTGATTTGTAGGTACATGGATGCACTTTAAAACCAGAATGTTAACTTAAATAAATCAGACATACAAGCTTAAATACTGAATGATTTCTCTTATATGAGAAGCCCAAACTATAAATAAAGAACAAAATAAAAGTTAGTAAAAAGGTAGTTTTTTCTGGAATGAGAAGGGGACCAGAAGAGACTGGGATATTAAATGAAGAAAAAAATAAAGATGTCATATGTACAGGTACGAACTGTAGGAATGTAAACATCATGTACTGCCAATGTATACTAATAAAAAAACAACAGAACCAAACCAAACCAAACCAAACTATTTGAAAGGACCACCCAACGACTCCTGGAGTCTTTCTTGACCACTCCCTTATGCTGAGATTGCCAAATAATTCTTCTTAGTCTTTTTGACTGTAAATCTTTACTTTCATTTTAACTGATCATGCTCCAAACTCAATTTGACTGACTCCATAATGTTATCATCTTTTCTGAATGTATTATTATTCTATGTTCCATGTTTTGGTCAACCTCTTGGCACTGCTGTACTGTTAAAGTCCCACACTTCTTAGTAAACTTAACTATGACCACATAGCCTGAACTTCACATAGCAAACCTTGGCTTCTGCTATGCTAGTACAGACCTTTCAATGGTAGCTGAACTCGTGTGTGTTTTTAGAGCATGCTATTCCTGTACATCTTTCTGCTCCAAATTATCTTTCTCCTATTTTCCACCTGGCTTATCCTCATAAGACTTTTGATTGATGATATTTTATAAGGTAGATCGTACCTTCTCACTTTTCAGGTTGCAAAACTAAATCTTAGAAAGTTTACCTTTTCCAACAGCTAATGATACTCCTTTTTGGGAATTAAAAAAATTGGCAAACTATTGGTTTATAATAAAGTTTTTTTCTGTAGACATAGGGTAGAGAATTGGTTCCTATTGAAGCATTTTCATTTTCTTTTATTGTAAAGGATCACAGAAAGGCCCCCAGTCCCAAGGCAATGAGAAATTTTTTAATCCAGAATACATGAGGCAGAGATATGAGGTAATAGGAATATTGACAGCATGCAGGAGAAGTAGCTATCTTAGAGGTGTTCATTTTTGTCTTGATAGTATTTTGAGAGAATCTTTTCCTCTGGAGTGCACTTGAATTAACTTTTGTTGTTGGCAATGTAATGGGCAAAATTAAAACAGATATGTATGTTGATCTCTTTGGCTAAACTTAGATTTATTTGAGTAGAGGAAATATTCACTGAAAAGTAAATTTATTCCACAAATTCTTAATTCAAATTAAGAAATTTGATTGGAATTCAGAAAATTCTTCCTAAAGCTAGTTATAAATGATTTGGTTAGCTTATAAATATTAAGTGAACCTACTCATTTGAACTACTGAATATTAAAGTGAAGTGATAGCACTTGAAATATAATTAGTAGTGAAAAACAGTAATTCAGATTAAGATTAAAATTGTTTTTCATGAATGCTAGTACTTGAAGAAAAAGATTTAAAGAAGAATAAGATACTAAATAGAAATTCTTATAAAATCTTGGTTGCTACAAATATATTTCAAACTATCAGTCCATCATAGATTATGTTGGATTTTAAAATGTAATCAAATTTGGGCTGTGAAACAGTAGAAGGGAAGGAACATGGAAAACATACCTTTCATCCCCTATTAAAAGCAGTATTTGAGGAGACCAAATTTTCTCTAGCTCAGTGATTGTTAATCTTTCATTTACAGACCCTCTTATACTGTCAAAACTTTTTTGAATGCCGGAAGAGCTTTTGGCTCTGTTTTATCGATTTTTTTCTGTTTGAAATTTAAAATGAGAATTTTTTTTTTCTTTTTGTATGTAGGGCAGGGTCTACAGGATGTTTAGGGTCTCACTATGTAGATCTGGACTCAGGGATTCTCCCGTTTACGGCCTCCCAAGTGTTGGGATTATAGGCAAAGGCCACCACACCACTTCCAAAAGTGTGCTCAGTGTGCCCTGGCGGCAGGACCAGCATGACACTTGGGGGATCAGGCGCTTTAGTATCCTGAGCTATCAGGTTTGCCCTTAAATGAGAAATTTTTAATATACAAGCATACATCCCATTAGTGAACAAAATTATGATGCTATAGTGTCCGAAAAGAGTAAGAGTGGAAAAAGCAAATAACATGTTGGTAATATTAATAAAATAGTTTGGCCTTGCAGATACCCTGGATAGATCACAGATGAAACTACCACATCCAGCTATGAAAAGTGTTACCTACTTAAGATATTTATATTTCAAAACTTTTTTTAATGCCAGAGACTTTTAGTTAAAGAAAATATTTTCAAGAATAGTAGCAATAGCACATAGTACTTCAGCAAATTCATGCTTATATTTTAATTATTTTTTCCAATGCAAGAAAGTAGATTAGCACTGCTCTGTTTCATTTGGTCTTAATTTAGAAGATCAAAGTACAATAAAACAAAAAAAACAAACAGAATTGGTGGTGTTGATTGTGTGTTTGTGTGTGCAGGTTTGCGATGGTTTGACTAGACTTAAACGGAGACTGCAAATATTTCCTAAATATGTTTGTTGAGTTAGTATCTAGTGGTGATAATTTATCATTGTGTTACATTTACCTGTGTGTTACAGCTAACCATGTGGTTATTATTTGAGACTTAGACCTGCTAATTTAGAGACTAGTCAGTAAAGTGACTGTATTTTGAAGAATGCTTACATATGAGAGAATCCCTTTTTGAGATATAGAAAGTATGTTTATATTAAGACTTAAATATCTGGTAGTGCTATTGACATTAGCTGGATTTGAACCAAAATGCAGTGATGAAGCTGCACAATTTCATGTACAATTATTTTCTTAAAATGATAGTGTTTGCAGTTCTGTCAGGTATTTTTATTAGAAAGTGAATATATTCATCTTTTGTACATTGAACTTCATCTTAAATTTGCAGTCTTTTTGGCTTAAAAATGCTTACTTTTCGTAAATAATTGCTTGAAGTGCGAATTTTATCTGATTTCTTTTTCCATATAGTTTTGCTTAAAATTAAGGAATATCTAATGTGGATCCCATATATTACATTACAAAAGCTATTAGTATATACATATATATATATTTATATAGATATAGATATGTCAATGGTGAGCAATTACTTAAATTCAAATATTGAATTATTTCTTAACCTATTTAATTAGGTAGAGTTTGATGAGAAAAGAATTTTAATTATAGTTGTTTGACTAGAAGATATCACCTCTTAATTTTGCAAGATTTTTCTAAGCATAGGCAAGTATTAGTGGATTATTTTAAAAGTGATGATTTCTTCAGGCCAAACAGTAATATAGACAGGCTTCTAAGCCTTGACCGAATAAAATAGGAAGCAATATATATTTCTTTTTTTTCTCCTGGGATTTTGTTTGAAACAATCTGTATATAAGGGGCTACCTCTCCTGTTTTGTACAGGGAAGTATTTTTGACTAATGATGGCTTTAGAGTCATATAGGTATAATCATTACGCTGTGTGATTTTTTTTTTTTAGTGTAAACTTTGTTTTTCTTTGGATATATCAGTTTTATTACATTGGATGACATTTGTTTTTTCAAATAAATTAGGCTTGACCAGCTGCCATATTGATTGGTCCAAATTTGTGGCATGTTTTTCAGAAAAACATATGATGGGTTGGCGCACAGAAATGTCATATTCCAATCACGACATGAGAAATGGTTGGATTGCCTGTTCTACTAGGAGGTATTCTTAAAATTAGTTTTCCTGTTATATCAGTACATGTATCTCCCATTAAGAATGAGAAAAAGTGAGATTTTCTTATTAACAGAGTCAAAAGTCATAATAGGCATTTGTAAATTCATAAAATTACCATTCTGGTAATCAATGGGCCAAATATTTTTGGATTCTAAATTTTTGTAGTGTCCCCAGATTGGAAAACCATGTCTAATGTATAATTAATATATACTATTTATGCTAATTTTTGAGAAATAATAGATTTTATCATATTCTATGTAGGAATGTGTCACTTCTCCAGTTTCTTTTAGAGGTTCTATAACACTAGAACTGAAAAATATTTAAAAGTTTTGTTCATTAGAATTATATCTTCAAGGGCTATATAAGACTGATGTGAACCTCTTGCAGCATAGGCAAGCTAGTATAAATATAGGCCAAAAGATATTTAGCAAAATTAATATTTTGTAACAATATCACCAATTCTGTGACTTTTTTTTAAGCAGGAAGATGACTTAGAATAAACGCTTGCCTGGCAAGCCCAAGGGCATGAATAACTACTATGAAAACAACAATATGCAATGTATTAATTATTATTATTATTATTGTTATTTTTATT